GGGGCCTGGAGGGTGACAAATCTCTCTGTCTTCCTCTGATGTTGCATAGTTCTGTTTGTACAGCCATGAAATGATGTCCTTAGCGAGGTCCCCCTTTTCTTGCCTTAGCCACCATGGTGGGGATTAAGTTCCAGAGGACTGAATGTGTTGGTCCTGGATGTCACTTCTAGGGACTGCCTATTACCTCCTTCCTGATGTTGTGGGAAGGATGCAGGACTGAGAAGTTTCTGTTGGATAAACAGTGAGCAAATCAGCTAGCAGACAGGAAGACCTTCCTAAAAAGCTGAGGGACAGTCCTCCCTTCTCTCTGGCTTTCCCAGCTTCTATTCTTCCTTTTCTACCTGGTGTCTCTTCCCCTGGGTTCAGGCTGAACCCATCCTTCAAAGGATGCTGCTGAGTGTGAGGTTGCTTGCTGTGGGCTGTCGGCAGGAATCACAATGTCTCCGGTGGGTCCCTGCTCAGTGCCACAGTGGGACTGCTCTTAGCAGCGTCCATTTGAGCAACACAGCACTGACTGCTGCCCCGGGCTACCCACCACCCCCCTCTTCTGGTTCTCAGTCAGGAGCTCAGCATGCTTTTTCAGTCTTTTCACCCTGTTGCCCTGGAACAGGGGCTGCACTTTGTTGGGTAATCAAGGCAGATCCCCTCCATGAAATCAGAGATCTTAGACCCAGAGATGCCAGAGGACCCTTGCTGAAGCCCTTGTAGCCAGTTGAGCAAACATGCTGGCCGAGACAGGCGAGAGGGAGGGGAGCGAGTGGGTGGATGAAGCCTGGAGGTTTAGGCCATTTGTTTTTATTCTCATTTTCACAGCAACAACATCCGGTCTGTGTTTGCTGGGTCAGGGGTGTAGTCCTGCTTTCCAAGCTCTGAGATAATCCCTGTTACTCATTCCCTTCCCAGCCTGGGCCTGTTTGTTTTTTTTTGGTGATTTTGTTTTGTTTTGTTTTTTATATATTGTAGTAGGATCTGAATCCACGAGCAGACAAGGCAGCCTAGAGAAGGCTTGAGCTCTGTCCCATGACTAGGAGGCATCTGTGCTGGGCAGGGTGTCCTAGCTGAGAGCTGCTTTTGCTCTGCAGGTTGGTCTTGCACCTTGTTTGAACCAAACTCAGGATTTTGAGTCCTGCTCTTCATTTCTGACCCATTCAGAGGAAGATGTGGGCACTCTGGGAGGGAATATGAAGGTAGCTGCATAGCCTGCGCTGCAAGGAGATCACTGGGGAATGGTTTGGAGGGACTCCAGAAGTGACAGGGGTCTGCTCGGAGTGCTGGAGGAGGTGTTCAGGCTGGAGATGCAAAGCTGGGTCAGAGGACACAATGGGGTGCCACAAGTGTATCCCTGTGTCTCGGAAACCCAGAGGAAGGATTGGGAGAGGCCCTTCCTTTGTGAAAGAGCTGTGGGGAGCAAGGGACCTGACTCTCAAGAAAACACAGAAAGCATTAGCAATATGCTGCTTTGCCTGAAGGAGGTGGGAGGTTGAGAAACTGAAGGTGAAGTGAAATAATGTGGGAGAGAGCGAGGTACTTCCATGGTGTGAGACGATGGTGCCAGGTTAGAGCTTCCAGCTGCACAGAGGCTTTAAGGTTGTCTGGTGGTTTGTTGTGTCTTTAAAGCAGAGCTGGGAGATGGACCTGTGTCTCACCAGCTGCCGGGTTGGACACTGGGACATTTCACACCATGGCCTGGAGGACAGCTAGCTTTGTGCAAAGGGCATGGAGAAGGCAGCAGCTCTTCCTGCCTGGAGGCAGCTTGCATGATAACCCTCGGCTTGGGAGTGTTATCTGCCAAGTTTTGTTCTGCTGGGCCAGCCCATTCATCTGGTTAGAAAAATCTCAGGGTCTGTCCAGGCTTTCTCAATAGCTCTGCCTGTTCTTTGAGGCTGGTGTGAGGGGGAGCACAGGCCACGCTCACCTTGCGACCAGTTATTTTTACAAGTGACTGGGATTCAGCATCCCCAGCACATCCTCCCTTAATGCTTCCTGTCTGCATTATCAGTCCTCTTTCTTCCTGCCTTTGTTGGATCCTGGAAGTTCTACCTTTCTAATCTGAGGACCCTCCGTCCCTGCCAACCAAGCCTTGGGAGTTAATAATTACAAAGACCAATTACTTCTGGTGCTGCCTTGCAAAGCTGAAGATTTTCCCCTCCTCCCAAAAGTTCCCTGAAGATAACAAAGGTTACAGCCATCGACACAAACCTCTCGGACACTTCGCTCCGAGACTTCAGAGCATGGGGTTGGCCTCTGTTGTCACCGTGGATCCTGGCCATGAGGTAGGACAGGGCTGTAGATGACATGGACACCCAGGAGAAGCTGGGACAGGGAATTGCTCCCTGTGTAGTATCTACAGCGGCACTCTGAAATGGATACAAGGATCACCATGTCTAACCTGCCTGCCTTTGGTGTTCTGTCTGGCAGCGAGGCAGAGGATGGGGCAGCTGAGACCAGGGAGGGAGCTGCCCTTGTGTGCGAAGGCTCGGAGCGGGTACCGCTGCCTGGAGGAAAACCCAGGGCAATGGCAAGGTAGGAAGCAATGGGAAACTTGTGGGAAGGATCGATCTGGAAAACATACTCTGAGGTGACCTGCGAGGGCAGGGGCAGATTTGGTCTAACAGAGGCACTGTCATCAAAATTCTGTCAATCCAAAGGCGGCTGTGGGATCCGTGGTGGGGTAACAGCAGGAGTGTTTTGCCTGTTTTGTTCCCCGCAGGCAGACACGCGCCCAGCGACAGGGACGATGTGCTCTGCAGTCCCTGGAGCACTCACTGGGGAAGTGGGAACCTCACAGTGCTGCGAGTGGGAGTTGTCTCTGCCTGTAGGTAAAGCCCCAGTGAGAAGATGAACTTCCTAGAAACATAGCTCCTCTTGATTTCAGTGTCGAGCTGTGGAGTGGATCGGTCATTTCCAAATGCCCCAGGAATCACCTGGGGCTGACCCTTTTTGCCCCTCTGTGCTAACAGAGCAGAGCAAGCGAGGAAAAGGCTTTCAGGACGAATATGTCCTGGGTAAAGGGGCTCCTCCACGCACAGCTGGTGATGCAGGGGAGAGGAGAATGGGTGGACGGAGAATGGTTTGTTCCCACTGCTCTGCAGAGAAGAGGTAAATCAGTATGGCCATGTGTCTGTTCTCATCTGCTGGGAGAGCTGCTCTGCTCCCTCAGCCTCCTGGAGACCGTGAGTGGAAGGATGAGCTAGCTAAGAATTGGAGCCACAGCATCCAAAGTTCAAAGCTCAGTAACAAGACTGAGTTCTCTCAGTCATGTAAGAGTACGGAATGCCCAGTGCTTTCCCTGAATGCCAAGTTTAAAAATACAGTCCTATTTTTACCCACCACTAACCGGCACAGGCCTTTCACCCCCCCACCAGGTTTCCCCCATCCTTTCACCTTTCTGTATATTATCACTTTTTTACATCCCAGGCTTCCCCACAGAGCTGTTTCAGCAGGAGTCTGAGGGCACGCTCCGTGCCAGGGAGGGAAGACGTGTTTATGGGGAGCATAAGGGTGTCACGAGGTACTGGTACCAGTCTGAATCCCTGGCTGAGCACACAGCTTCTCCCAGGGCAAATTGTAGTGACATCCTCTCGCATCTACCACAGCTTCCCCTGCACCAGCATCCTGGCAAGGGTTATCTCTGCAGCCTCAGTTTGTAGGAAGGCTTTTCACTCACCCCAGCAGCACACACCTCAGACATCGTGAGGCAGAGGAGCCCCAAATCACGACACTTGATGGTAATTTGGGGGTTTGTCTTTCTAACGTCTATCCCTGAGGCCTTTCAGCAGGCTTGCAAACTCTTCCGTGGCATCACAGCTCTGGAAACATCCCTGTTTTTATTGCTGAAAGGGGAAACGGGCGGGATTCCCAGCTCGGGCAGCCGCAGCTCTAAGGAAAACACGCAGGACCGTGGGGTGGATAAAACCGGCCCCCGCGCAGCACCACCCGCCGGAGCGTCCCCGAAGAGACCTGCCGCTGGCAAAGCCGCAAAAGGGCCGAGCTCAGCCCCGCGGCCGCTCCACCCGCGGGACGCGCCACGCGTGGCGCGGCGGCAGCGCGCATGCGCGGCGGTATCGGCGTCGCGCCCCCGCGGCTCCTCCCCCGCGGGCGGCGGGAGCGCGTCCCTCAGGCGGCGCCGGGTTCGGGTCCGGGTCCGGGTCCGGGCATGGGGGCGGCGGTGGGCGCTCCTCCGTGAAAAGCCGCAGCAGCGTCGGTGGGACTCAGCATGAGGCGGGGGTAGGTCCGGGGAGCCCGGCACCCGTGGGTTGGGAGCCTCCGGGGCGTGGGGGGGAGGAAGGCGGCCGGGCCCGGACCTGGACCTGCCCCTCACCTCAGGGCCCGGGCGGGCCGCCCCCGCCTGCGGCTGCCGGGACAAGGGTGTCTTGCCGGGCTTTGGCTTTCTGTTGCTTGTTTTACGAACACCTTGAGCCCTGGCAGCCGAAAGCCCCACGGCTCAGCCCGCTCTCGAGGCTCCCGCAGGCGGGTGTTTGTGCGGGAGGTTGTATGGAAGTCAGGCAAGGAGACGGCGTGAGGAGATACGGTGTCCAGCGGCAGCCCTGGGGCGTGAGGACGCGGCGGGCGATCGCTGTGTGCTGAGGCAAATGTAAGAAACACAAAATGCGCTTTGCGCTGTGTCCGACCGTGTAGCGGTCAGGCTTCTGCCCCGATCGCGATGGAAAAGTCAGGTTCTCTTCAGCTGAGGGCAAGAGTTTAACCTGGAGAGACCAACGGGCTGTTTGTACGGGAAATAACCCTGTCAGATCAGCACTGCAGGAAACATGTGGGGCCCGCTGGAAAAAGTGCGGATCCTGCACATTTTTTTGCTTTTTCTACAGAAACCGGCTTTAAAAGCTTGTGGGGTGTTGGTTGTTTTTTTTTTGTTGTTGTTTTTTTTTTTTTTTTGTATAAGTTTGCATGTCTTGTGTCAGTGTGGGACCTTTAGGATGTGATACATTTTTCTGAGGAAGATGAGGCACCAGACCAGCAACAGCAAGAGTGCAAGTGTACGTGGTGGCCTTTTAGTCTCGGGGGGTTTGTATTTCAAAGCCCCAGCTGGACACTGGAAATTGGGGCTTGGCTGGGCAGAAGCCAGCATAGCCAAGGCTTTCGTGGAGATCCTGTTTGCATGGCATGGAGAATGCGCTATTCCGTCAAAAAAGATGGGGTGATTTTTCAGGATAGGTTTGTGGGTCCCTGTGCATTACGGAGTGTGGGCAGGACTCTTCCGATCCTCTGTGTCCTCTGGTTTTCTTCCATAGCTTGTGGAAATATACTGGAATACCTGTCTCCCAAGACAAACAACTTTCATCTGAGGACTTGAGAGCGTTGTAAAGAAACAACATTGTTTTTTTTTCTTCCTGTTATGTATAGGTTAGATTGGCTGTCTTAGTAGTTTAGTGGACTGTTGAAATTTCCCTTTGACTTGCTGCTGCTTTTATTTTTTTTACTAGCTGCTTGGTTCTGAATGTAGCTTTTCCTCTGTGCTCTGATTTTTGTTTCCTTTTGATCACAGAAGCTAGAGGTGCTTGGACTGGCTTCATCCCTTCTGGTGTGTTTCCTGCCTGATCCAGGAGTACCTGGGGAGATGCGTTCTCTGCAATTTGCCCTGTTTAATCTCAAAAGTCCATAGCAGAGAGGTTTTCCACTATGGCACCTGAGAAATGGTTTAACTGCTGAATAGACTTCTCTCTGGCATGCTTCCCATGCCCCATGGCAAATCCATTGCAGAGAGCCTCCCCTGATCTATGGGATGAATTGCTCTCATTAAGTCTTCACCTTCCTGTAATGGATTTTATTCCTTCCTTTGGGTCATTCTCTTGCATGACCCCTCCCCTTCCTTAGTGTTTGGAGCCTTTGGAGACCTCCTTATCGTGTTAGCGATGTCACTGTTTAGGTAAGTGATCCATGTTAGCTAATCTTGACCTTTCTTAACCATTTTATTTCTGCTGTGCCGTTCTGCCTTTCCTCTGATTAACCAAACTTACTAACAGAGCAGCCTAACTGGATGGAGCAGGCGCTGCACACTCTGAACACCGTGTAGTTTGCACTTGCGTGCTCTCTTGCACCTCAGACTAGATGCCTGCCCAGTCTGGGAGTTTCTGTTGGTCACGGCTTGCTCAGTCAGGCATATGCCTCCGTGTTTGTGCATATTGCTTTTATCAAGCAGTCCCAGCCTGCTGAATAGCTCAAGATGAATTATCTTTGCTTGGAGGCACTGTCTGTCCTTTTTCCTCTGGCCAAAACTAATTTTATTTTCTTGACCTTTCCCCCGTGCACCCTTTTATGTTATTTTGTACACTTCCAAATTAAGTAGTATCGCCAGGATAAGCTTCCCCTTCTAGATCTTCCCAGTGAATGTTCAGTAAAACCAGGTGAAGTCAACAGGATGCTGCTTTTTCCTGTCCTTTCCTAACTTCTTAGCACTACTGTGTGACCATCCTGGTGCTTTCACTCGTTTTTGCTCAGCAGAGGTCGGCAAAATCTGTGATACCGACTGCGTGTCCCCCACCTCCAGTTCTGTAGTCAAAATGCTGTCCAGTTGGCATGGCATCAAGGGTGATCTCATGCCCTTCATCTTCCAGGCTTTCAGAGAGTTTTCCACGTGTGCTTTTCCACATGCTACCTGAACTGAATTAGCTGGTAGCTGCTGATTCTTTCCCTCTTTGAAAAATGCTTGTGGACAGCTGTTGCTCATGGATGGCTTTGAGGGGGGCAGGAAGGGAGCAATCTGAGTAGAAAAGGCGGTATTATCACGCTGTTGCCAGGTGGCATAGCCTAGGAGAAAAAAGCCTGTCAGTAGTTGGGCCTCATGGTTTGACTGCCTTTTGGTTTTCGGTGAGATGAGGGAGAACAAGGCTCCTTTTGAGTAGCACGAGGCTGAGGAGATAAGCCCAGTCTCCGTTTGGGCCGTATGGGGCTGGAGTCAGAGCAAGGGGGGAAGAGCGTGGCCTGACTGGGATGCAGGAGGTAGGGCAAATTCAGGGAAGGGAAATACAGAGGTTGGGAAAAGGGAAGAGGAGAAAGTGAACCTAACCAAAAGAAGGCGATATCTTCTCTGCAGTGGGCAAGAAGTCGTAGCCAAAAGGTGCGTGCAGGAAGAATTGGTGCTGTTTGTGGAACAGGACAGCACCACAGCTCAGCTAAGGCTTGTGACCCAGAGATAACTGGCAGCAGGTTAATCTGTAGTGCAGTGTGTGTGTGTGTCCTGCTGAGTGGCTGGACATGATAGAAAGCTTCCACGTGTGCAAGTCTTGATCGCGCTCCTGCTGACTTCAAATGGCAAGCGAGCACGTGAGGACAGTTCAGAGCATGAGGAGGGGGTGATGTGCATGTTCTAGGCAGCATTGTGGTTGTGGTGCCCTGTCATGCAGGCTCTCAAGCCTACGTTTTCCTTTCATAAGACCCCAGTGGCTGCAGAGCCTATTCAATTTATCAGCCTCTTCCAGGGTCTGTGTTAGTCTGTTGACAATTGACAAAAGTCCTGCTGAGCACTGGGGAATGGTGTCCTGGATGACTCTTGATTTTCTCTTTCTAGTGCATCTCTGCTTGCCAGCCACTGAAACTAAAAAATAGGGCTTCATCTCAGCTTGATGGAAGTATGCTGTTTTAGCTTTGTGGAGGACTTTGGTGGGAAACCAGTAGGTTAAAAACAGATCCTTTCCCTCTGAAGCAGGGGTGAGGGGGAGAGGAAGGCTGGGTTTGCAGTGGAGGGGATTAGGACCTGTGTGTTTCTAGGGAACGCGAGAGCTGTACTCACTTTTTCTTGCTACTCTCCTTCATTTGGGGAAGCTGTCTCTGAACTTGGGTCTACTGGGTGTATACTGGAGTCCTAAACAAACCAGCTGAAGTCTGTTGCTCTCTGGAAGCTGGTGAGAGTGGGATTCCTGGAGCAGCTGTCTGTAGTTCTCCTGCTTTATCCTGAGCTAATAATATCTAGAACATGCTGGTTGAGAAGAGTAAAACCAGGACTTACTAATAGCATTGCTTTGCCTACTAAGTTTTGTGTATCTAGAATTATCTGTGAGGCAGTACTGACTATTGTGAAGCTATCCCTTCTTAAAAGGAGTGCAGTCTAGGCATCTCAAACTAGACTTGGTGTGATTCTTAAAGATCTCAGGATAGGAGTGGAGTCTTTATTTTAGATTGTTGTCTCTTCTGTTGCTGGTGTGGAAGCAATCAGTGCCAAAAGGGTGAAGTACTTCAATAGGGAGGTGGTGCCTGCATGTGGGGTAAAGGAGCTGCTGCTGCTGGGCACAGAGCAGGTCTTCTAACCCCATCCTGCCCTCTTCATACACCCTCCCTGCCTCACCTCAGTGCCTGTGAGAGGCTGGAGGTGGGTGTGTTGCAAGGGTCAGAGGAAGCCTGTGAATTGCCCCCATATAAAGTTTCACTGTGCTGGTACCCCACAGCCAGGCCAGTTTTGAGGAAGACAGCCAGAAGCAACCAGCTGTGGGACACTGGAAGCCACTAATGCCGTCCAAAGGCAGCAAGGAAGAGCCAGAGACTGGATGCCAAGATGCTGGAGGTGTGGATGAGACTCAGTCCACCGAGCAGCTCAATGTGTCACGTCTACGCAGCTCTTCAGTGGAGATTCGTGAAAAGGGGTCTGAATTCCTGAAGGAAGAGCTGCACAAAGCACAAAAGGTAAGGTCCGGGGCTTGTGAGATCACTTGAGGATGATGGCACAGATCTGAGCAGTGGGGGTTTTCCTAGAGGTGGTGCTGAGGGGAGCAGGGTCTGAATGTGATTGTGCTGCAGTCTGGAGCAGGCAGAAGAGGAGAGGAATTGAGCTGAGGTGGCCATGAAGTGCTTTGGAGCAGGATATCAGTTGCTAGGTTGACCCAAAGCCTCCATGCCAACATCCAAATTAGTCCTGGAAACCTGCTGCGGAAAGCACCTTGAGGCAGGCAGTGCTTACTATGGAGGCTCCTGGCTAATGGCAAATGAGTGACTCCAGCCTGAAAAGCCTGCTACAACCTGTGAAGGGATGCCTCTGGTGACATGAAGCATGGTGTGAAATTTAATGACAGGGGTCCATGCTGTGGTGAGGAGGAAAGGTGGTGATCGCCAGGTGGGGCTGGCAGGCATCAGCACTACTGGGACCTGCTATGAGCTCACGTGTCCCTCTCCATTTCCTCAACAGGAGCTGAAGCTGAAGGACAAAGAATGTGAGAGATTGTCAAAAGTCAGAGAACAACTGGAGCAGGAACTAGAGGAGTTAACAGCTAGCCTATTTGAGGTAACACCCTCTTCCTTTTCCCATAATTTCTTAAGCTAAACTTACATCCAGCTCCTTTAAGACAGGCTTTCCCTGAACTCCCACAGTTTCTTCCTTTCCTCTGTTCTTTCCCACTTGCAGAAGCAGAGCTGGGCAGTGCTACAAGCAGAGCCTCAGAGCAGGGGCTTGTACCTGCTCCTGGGGAGCATTTGCATGTGTTTCTTTCCCCTTCTGTCAGCTGTGAGGTGGCATAAAGAGCACAGTAGTTACAGGTCTGTACATCTGGTAGTAAAAACAGATGTGGGGTGTCTGTAGCCTGTAGCTGGAGCTAAGCATAGCTCTCTGTCCCTCTCCCGTTCCTGCTCTGTAGTCTGGAGAGCAACTGCTGTGTAATAGAGATGATTCCCTGGCTCGTGTCAGCCCTTGCTTGGGGTGGGAACAAGCTGGATGTCCTCATGTACTCTGTTCCAGTGAGTGTTCAAAAGGCCTTTTGGTTGTTTTTTTCATAACATGATTCTTGCCAAGCTCTATCCTGGCAAAATCCCACTTACCAGCAGCTCTAATGTCTGGATCTGGCTGGGCAGTGAGGAAAGCCAGGACCCATCTGTACTTTTGAAACACAGGCTGGTGCTGAGTGTGAGGGCCAAGAGAGCATCCCCCTCCTGGAGATTTGGCTGCCTGGGCTTAGGGAAAACGTAGAAATAATGTAGCTGAGAGCTGACCCTTCCTCTGGTGGCCTTGGACAGACTGTTTCCAGACAGCGCTGCGGGGAGGCCTCAGCTGGGACTCTCAATGCTCCCCTCTTTCTGTGGGAGATGCTTTCAAGCTAGCCTCCATCATTTGACCCCCACCTGAGCTACAGCTCTTGCTGTGTTGCAGCCGTGCCCAGAGCAGCGGCGGTTGGCCGCTCTGCAAGGAAAGTAGGAGCAAAGTGCAACAACATGTCAGGCAAGAACACTGACCTCGTCAGTGAGAAGGCAAGATGTAGAGCAGCAATCTGGATCAGGATCTGTGCCACAGCCAGTGATTAGGGTCAGAAAATAGTCCAGTGATCAGTCAGCGAGTCTGCAGTGACAGTGCAGGCCTGAGGTCAAGCCAAAAAGCCAAGCCAGTGGGGCTGGGTCAAGGTCAGAGTCACAGAGATATTGGACTGGAGGCAGACACAGCTGTGATGTCGCACAGTGAGTGTTAATGTTAAAGCCTCAGCTCTAAAGCAATTTCCAAGGGTAAGGAGGGGCAGGCTTTTGCTTCTAGCTTTCTTCACAGCAGCCCGTATCAGTGAGAGATGACCTTGAACTCAGCCAGCTAAACTCTCTAATTTAGCCAACTACACTCCTAGAAGGGGGATGTGCTCCAGGCTCTGGCACTGAGAACCTTCTCTGGGAAGTTCTGGGGGAAGGCTCTTCACAGCTGACAGAGTAAAACCCTTGGATGTGGCAGTGATGTCTGTCCCCCTGCTTGCTTGCCCAGAGCATGTGATACGGCAGAGCTTTGGCCTGCTCTGGTGGCTTTATGAGTTGGGGCTGCAGCAGACAGACTAAAATTCTCTCTGGTCCAGGAAGCACACAAGATGGTGAGAGAAGCAAACACTAAACAGGCGGCGTCAGAGAAGCAGCTGAGGGAGGCACGGGGGAAGGTGAGAATTGCAATCTCTGTGACTTGATTTCTATGCTAGGCTGGTGCCATCCCTGCCCAGCCTGCCCATGGTGCTGTTCATTGGCTGGAGAAGAGCTTGCAGCTCACTCTCTCTGAGATGCTGCATTTGCTCTGTTCCTTCTCCAGCAGACACTGAGTGGAAAAAGGCATCCTTGCAGTCTGCTGCTGACCCAGCTCCCCTTTGAGAAATGGATGCCAGGGGAGCCACAGCGAAGCGATATGCTGTTAAATTGCCACAGCTTTGGGGATGGTTAGGGCCGGGAGCTGGGGAGTTGGAATTTCCTGACAAGGCTGCATCACCGGGCTGCTCAACTGGTTCCTTCTTGAGGAGAAATTTCTTCTGGGTTATTTGGTCTAAAAAGAGCCTGGAGCAGAACATGCTCAGACTGAGGACCAGAGGGATAGGTTCCCAAATAGCTGCTCTTTAGCCCTGTTTAAGATTCTGGGTGACGGTGGGCATTTGGGAGAATGGGGAGAAGGCTTCGTGGCTGGGCTTGTAGCTGGTTCCCTGTGGCTTTAACATTTGGTGGGATGCAGCAAGCTCGAGCAGAGCAGGAGCTGAAGGTGCTGTTGATTCTTGCCTTGTCTCCTCAGATCGACATGCTGCAGGCAGAGGTTACAGCTCTGAAGACGCTGGTGATCACATCCACACCTTCTTCTCCCAACCGGGAGCTGCACCCTCAGCTCCAGAGCCCTTCTAAAGCTGTGTTCAGGAAGGGCCATGGGCGAAACAAGAGCACCAGCAGCGCAATGGTCTCAGCTGCCAGCCAGAACATGACTCCAGAGCCAGTCAGTCATGAGTGCAAAGAGGTGGGTGAGAGCCACTCACTGCATTGGCTTTGGAGCCGCAGCTGTCACTGTGCTTGGGGAGTTGGGTGGCTTCTGACCTGAGCTTCCTGGAGAACTCTGTGGTTTCAGTGTTGGGAGAAGCTGTTTGTGCAGTAAAGCGGCTTGTTCCCTAAATTTGTGCTGAGGCAAGCTCTGGAGGGTTTCCATTTGTGGAGATTTCCGTCTTCTGGGAAGCGTGTTCAAGGCTGTGTCAGGACAACTGCTAGAGGAAGCAGCTGAGGGGTCCCTGAGGGCATGGCCAGATCCAGGAGTTACCAGTGCTGAGAATGTCAGGAGTTGCTGAGCAGAAGCCAATTGTTCTGCTGCATCTTGGCAGTTGAGTCCACTACCTGCTCTAGCGTGATTTGCTGTTGTTTCTTAGCTCTACCTAGTTTGGCTTGGATGTCAGGACACCTCCATCAATTTGTACTCTCAGTCACTTGATCTGTGGTTTTGGGCGTATTCTTCTTTTTCTTTGCAGAGCATATATTTAATTGATTATACTTAATTCCTACCTCACTGGAAGGAACTGTGTAGAGAAGCTTAGAAGGCATTTGTGAATATCTTTCAAACCCTGTTTAATTTGCTTCGGTGTTCCTTTGATAGTCCCCTACCTGCCATGACCATGGATGTAACGCTTCTTGCTGCTAGCGGGATCTTTCAGTCTGGGAACTTTCCACTAGCCAGATGTTTGCACAGCTGTCCTGGGGAGCAGAAAGGGGGCACTTGGTCAGGAAGAATGAAAATGAGAGAGAATGTGGTGGGAGAATATGTCTCCCTAGTGGTTTTTTGGAAGCTATGGCCTCAGTCATGAAAAATTGTTGAGGGAACACAGAGGCACCTGGTCACTTGGCTTGTGTGACAACGTACGTAGAAGGGCCGGTTGTGAAATTAATGCTGTCACCAAACAGGACTGCACTGGCAACGCTGGTAACGTCCGCTTTTGGCAGCGGATTCAATGAATGTGCCTTGTCAGCTTCTGCACAGTGCTCTTGTTGCTAGAGTTTGGATGAAATGCTTCAGGCACCATTGGCTATAGCCATTGTCCTGAGACAGCAATAGCAACAAAAGATGAAGATCTTTAACTCTGTTCACAGGCAGAGAGGAACAAAGGCTATGTCAGAAAGAAAGCCAGAGGAAAAATTATCAGTTCAGTAACTGTGAAGGCCTGATGTACTGGTTTCTCTTGGTCAAGCAGGGAACAGTCCAGATAGGCTGGAAGTTGGAGCCAGGTGTGGTCAATTAGAAGCTGCTTTGAGGGCCAGGAAGAAAAAGGTTTTAATCTTTTTAAGGTCCTGTGACCTCTCCCAAGGCTAACCATTCCTCCATTCAGAACAGAGGGGCTCCAAACTGAGAGCCCAGTTTGAGCCACTGACTACCCTCCCCTCTGCCTACAGTAAGGAGCAACAACTTTTGCCTACTGGGTAGTTCATTTTGCTGTTCTTGGCTCAGTCTCGGCAAAGCTTGTGTTGACGATCTTTAGAGAAATGCTAGCTCTTGTGACTTGCTTGTTAAGGATTTGGACCTGTCATTTCTTTCTGTAGGTAACTTCCACGTGGTGCAGTTATCCTGGGGTTTAAAATCCGAGGGCTACAGCTTCCAAAGTTGACAATTTTGTATATCAAGGGTGGGGTGGTTTTTGTTAACTTGTTGATTTCTTTCTCTCAGATTCCTTAGTGGTGTATATGAGAGGTGATAAAAGGGAACGTGGCATTCAGAGAGTTGGTGCTTGATGCTCTATGGAAAAAATGTGCCCTGGCTTAAATTGAGCCTAAAAATGACAGAATTTCTGATCCCTTTTTGCACCTCAACGTGAAGTCTAAACGTGTGGCTTGTGGCCCTGTGATGTCTTGAGGAGCACGCTTAGTTTCGTGGAAGGGAGGACTTGAGCCTTTCTTTGAATCTTCTGTTTTGTCTCATGTTTTTTACTTCTCTTTCTTGCTCGTCTCTCTAAACCTTTTCCTTCACTGTCTATCTCTTCCTCTGCCCTCAAAGTCTGGGTTACCCGCTCTCCTCTCTCTGCTCCTTTGTATCATCCCTGGGAAGGCTATCCACATCACCTATGAACCAGGCTGGCAGGCCTTGGGGGCAGATGTTTCCTCATCCTTGCGGCAGGTAACCTTTCTGGACAGCATTGGGGAGGGGTGGGACCCATCTGCCTCTCATACTTCCAGCCTTTCAGTTCTAGCTTCCTTTTATGCTAACCTCCTTTTTGTTGTTGTTTGTTTGTTTTGTTTATGTTTTTCTCAATTTATTTTTTTTTCCATCTTGTGGCTCTGAAGCTGTCTCCTGGTACCAGGCGAGCAGTCTCCATAGCATCGAGTGAGTGTGCTAGAACCCACACCTTTTTCAGCTTTGTTCACTTATGTTCTTTGTGTTGCTGAGCAGGGTCTCTTTAGTTCTGTTTTTCCTTTTGGCAGCTTTAACAGGATTTGCTGGCCTTTTAAGGACATGTCCTGTCAGTCAGGTTGGTGGTTCTGCTAATGATCCATCTGGGGTTTAGATGTCAGGTCCCAGAGAGTCTCCAGGACTGAAATATTTTCAGCCAGACAGGGATGGAGAGAGCAACCTTCCTACTGGCTCAGGGGATGGGAGCAAGTTCCGGCCTGGGCTCCTTTCTGCTGAGCAGTGTTAATGCTTGCAGGCCCAACTCTAAAATGCAATGAGCAAACATTAGAATGGGGAAAGCTGTTGCTACCCTTTGAGTTCTCTGTGGGAGATCTCCTTTCCTACACTCAGGTTGCCTCTGCAAGCTTGTGTGGCTGCCCAGTGTTCCCATTACTTCTGCAACTTCCCCAACACCAGAATTCTGGGCTTGGAGTGGTCTTTAAAGGGCTGGAATACCCTGTGAGCTCATACTTGGGCTCACTTAATGTAGTCCTGGTGATGGCTGTTTATTAATCATAGATCATAGGATGGTTTGGGTTGAAAGGGACCTTAAAGATTATCTAGTTCCAGCCCCTCTTCCGTGGGCAGGGGCACCTTCCCCCAGCCCAGGTTGCTCAAAGCCCTGTCCAACCTGGCCTTGAACCCTTCCAGGGAGGGGGCAGCTGCAGCTTTTCTGAGCAACCTGTTCCAGTGCCTCACCATTTTCTCCAATTCATCCTTTTCTGTAGCAGTCCTTCCCTTACAGAAGGGTTCTGCCTCCTGGGTGCCATTGCCACTGTGCTTTGCCATTCTGCTGCTCTCATCGTTCCTGCCGTGGGATGAGTGGGAATTTGGTCTGTTTGATGGTTGTGTGGTGAGTTTCCTGCAGCAGAGGTGCTGCCCTGTCCTGGAGGAAGATGGGATAGAGCTGTGCCTGCAGGTTTCTCGTGGAATAAGCCCAGTATGCCTTTATCCGTCTGGGACAGAACTGCCGATGGGTGGGAGATAAAACATCCTTGGAACAAGCCAACTTCTCTCAGACACTTCTGTGATGTCTGAGCCTTTCTAGATGCCAGAGCAGATATTTTGTAGTTAGGTTACCTGCATAATAACACATACCTTCTGATATGGTATATCTCTCTCTTTCCACTGCTATTGGACTCTTGCTGCAGGTCGACTCCATTTTATTTGCTGAGTTCCAGGCCTGGAAGGAATCTCCAACTTTGGATAAATCCTGCTCCTTCCTGGACAGAATTTATCGAGAAGATGTAGGACCCTGTCTGGACTTCACTAAGCAGGAGGTGAGTGCTGGAAAAGGAGGACAAAACCTGTGCAGTCTGAGAGCACCAAAGCTGCACCTTTATGGAGGTGACCTTTGCACATTCATATCTGCACTCATTTGTCTTTGCTGCAGCTGTCAGAGCTGGTGCGAGTGGCTGTGGAAGAGAATACACTCACAATTGAGCCAGTTGCTTTGCAGACACTGCCAGTGGCGAAGGTGTCAGCAGAAGAGTGCGGTGGGCCAAAGTAAGGAACCGTGCTTATCTCTCTTGTCTTTTCCTTGCTACTGGTCTTCTTGTACCATCTAGTGGAGTTTGGCCAGGCCTTGATCAGTCAGTTGAGCTGAGCAGTTCAAAGGGCTCAGCTGAGTGTTGTAGCCCATGACCAGTGGTAGTTCAGCTCAACTGTTTACATGAGAGAGGAATTAGCTCAGCTCAGATGACATACTGTAGTTGGCTGTTTTGGGGGCTAATCGAGTGATGTGTTAGTGCTCTTGGCTTGGGAGAGGTTTGTGGGGTTTTTTTCCCTTAAGGTAGCAATTTGTTTAATGTTCTCTGAAGGTATGTTTGTGCATAACATCGGGTGAAAGGATTAAGTCAGAGCTGCGTTATCTCAAGTTCTTGCATCTCGTGAGGTTTGAACTTGCCTTACCCTCCTGACCTTGCTGGTGCACCACGTGGGTTTGAGCCTAGTTCAGAAGAGATCTCCTCTTGCTGCATATAGTCTTCCCCACCTGATGCTGTCACCTTGCCACCAGAATTGGGGCTATGGCTGCTCCAGAGCTTGCATGACTGTATCTGATGTGAGAGACAACTTGAGATTTGCCTGAAAGAAGAGGAGCACTAGCAGGAGCGACATAATATTCCAGTTGAAGATAGGGGATTTTGTTCTGCTATTAAATTTAAATTTAGTCAGGGCTCTCTCTTTTTGTTCTTCCCTCCCTTACTTCAAGCAGAGCACCTTCTAAGCAAAGGTGTTCCTGTAACAGTAAATGCTGCTCGTGTGTAGGTTTCCTACCACTCTCTTCTGTGTTTTCTGTCATCTCTAGGCAAATTGTTCCATGAGTATGTGTAAAGACCTGTTCCAAGAACAACCCATCCTGTGTTTATCCTTATTGGTTTCCTTTTGATTTTTTTTTTTTTTTGTGTCTTCACAGTGGGTTCCGGTCACAAATTGTAACGTAAGTGAAGTATTTATTTTTCAGTCAGTGATCAAAGATCTCTAATCCATTAACAAGTTACTAACTTACTGCAATTTAGCAGCTTCGAGTCTAGAACTGAACTAAGTAACGTTTTAACCCCGTTCAATCTCCATGCAGACAGGATGGTAAGGAATCTTGCTATTGGCAATAAAGGTCCCAAAAGGGGCTTATTCCCCAGGTGTAAAACACTGATTTTTATGGCAACTTTGGACATGCTGTGGGTCAGAAAGGAGAAAGCTGCGGTCCCTGCCCAAGCTGGGACCTACCAGACCTACGTGTCTGTACCCTGCTTGTGCAGACCTCAGTGCAACAGGAGCCTAGAGAGGCAGGGACTGAGTGGGCCACTGTATGACATTGCCTGTATAGCAACAGAGAAAAATGCTGGCCAGGAGGTGTTGGGAAAACTGGCTTTCATGGTGGCATGCCCAGCAAAATGCCTCGGGGTGTGCCAAGTGCTGAAGGGCAGGTGTCCCAGTGCTGTGGTTTAGGTTGTTTCTAGCTACAGTGGTGATAGCTGGGGTTACACCAAGTGGTACCAACCAAGCCAAGAGTGACCGGCAGGATTCTCTTTCTTCCAGTATTCTGCAATGCTCAAATTTGGGACCTCTTAAAGGTATCAGTCATCCTGCAACTTCTGAGGATTCCGTCTCCTTAAGTTGTGTTAATAATTGATCAGTGATTGCTTCTCATTGCATCTGAACACTTACAGCCACTCTTAGCTAATACTTGCCTTGATAGCAGTGGAAAGCAAGCACAGAGACATGCTCAGAAACTCTCTGAAACATCTACTTCTGTGTGTTGTCATCTTCTGTGGCCCACAGAGCAATTTTTTGCAGCTGGGAAGTGATGTCCCTCTTCCCACTATGTAGGCACTATGTCTCTGGGCAATGTGGTGATGACTATGCAGCAGAAAATGCTGCTTTCCTGCCTTGATGGAGGGGCAACTGGCTGGTGCTGGGAGCCATTCGTCTTGCAAATAAGAGAAGAAAATGGCAAGAGAATAGAGGCATGCTATACCCTTGCTGATTGCATCTTTTGGTGGTCTCCTTAGGAGCTGAGCTGTCTTGAAAAGACTATTTTCTTCACTTAGTCTGAAATCTTACAGTTGTGAAGCCAACCTTCTTCTCTGTCTGCACTAGAAGGGATTGGCTTGTTCTTAGGAACTGCAAGCCTTATCCAAAGCCCCCTGAAGTCAGTACAAAATTGCTTCATGTGGCTTCAACTAGAGTAGCTTCGAATCAGGCCCAAATTAATGAATAGGAGCCTAGCATAAAGGCTGCAGTGTCACTTGGTTTGAGTTCTCAGGATGAGCAAATTCTGCTCAAATTCTGGATTGACCTCTTCTGAGACCAGGTTTGGTTCCCAGCCAGCGTGTTTGCATCCCATCAGGGGAGCTGATACACCTGAGCAGAACTCCTTCAGCAAAAGCCTTGCTTGGAACATGGAGGGGACGTGCAGGGACCAGATGACATTTGTTATACTCTGGTCCAGCCACACCTCTTTAATATTTTCTGTGGTTTTGTCTTGGGCTGTGTGCCAGGCAAAGGGTACAGCCTTAGTTTGCTTGGGCAGGGAATAATTCGTGGTTCCAGATAATTAGCCTAAGGTCTCCAGACTTGAAATTTTGGAATCTTTCTAGGAGCAAAAGGCTCATATCAGCCATGGCTTTTTTTTCTTCTTCATGCTGACTGACACAGGTCTGGCTTCTGAGCTCCCACTTCCATCTCTTGGGGACAGTCTTGAGGTTGTTGAACTGTTGTGTTCCGCTGTGCCGCTAGATTGTTGAAGGCTGAAGTGTTTTTTTCTTTGCCTGCAGGAAATGTGCTCTGAGTGGCCTCCCCAGGACCTGCAAGCACCGCATCATGCTGGGGGATTCTGGGAATTACTATTACATTTCACCATCCTGCAGGGCCAGGGTGAGTCTTCCACCTTCCCAGGGTGCCTTGACCCTCCAGAATTGCTCCAGGCTCTGAGATGGAGGAGCCCTTGGGTCAAGCCTCAAACTGAGAGAGACCTGTGGGGCTTGAGCTTGTTCCTGAAGTCGAGGTGGCTCTTAGCCAATGACTAGGGTGCAGGTCTCCAGCCCTGCCTCATGCTCCTTCAGGTAACCTGTCTTCAGTGTGTTTGCTTTCCATGGCTTGATTCAGTACAGGGCTTTGATTGTTTTGCTTTATTATTATTTTTTTTTAATTATCCTTTGTAAAACACAGTAATTTTCTGCTTTTTAAATGCTGGCTCTTGTTACTGTTCCAGTACAGATCAGTGACTCCAGCAGTTATGAGAACAATCTGCCCTTTCTTTGGAGGGAAGGGAGAAGGTGAATGATTTGTTAATGTTGCTGTTGAGGCTTTGATTCAATGGAGAATTTTAAAAGTTTATTCTTTCCTGAGCTGCACATCAAAGGAGCTGATCCTGCAACGTGATTATTTCCGAGACAAAAAGTTGGTTTTGTGCATGGACTTAAGTTGACTGATTTTTGTCACTCGCACGTAATGTGTCATGAACACCCTCACCTCCCTGCACACACGCTTTCTGCACAAACCTTTAACTCCAAAGATTTTCATTCAGTCAGACAATAGTGCTCTTTGCAGGAAAATCATGGACTTTGCTGCCACATTAAGTAGTGTTTACTCGTGTCTCAAATCTGCAGTAGATTGGAGTTCTTCCACAGTATGTCTCATGGATAGTGTAATATCTTGGGATGGGATTGCAGATGCCCAGAATTTGGAATTTAATTTTTTGTTTTAACCAGCTTTCTTCCTAGCTCTTTCCATCTGATAGTATGTGGTACTATTTCTCAGGTACTGAACACCAAGAGCTCTCCTGGGTGCTGTGCAAGCCTCTTGATATCTTGATAGACAAAGCAGTTCTGTAGCTGACTTTTTTTCTCTTTCTTTCTTTCTCAGATTACAGCGGTGTGCAACTTTTTCACGTACATTCGCTACATCCAGCAGGGCTTGGTGAGGCAGGATGGTAAGAGGGGATGGTAGCTGGCTGTGGTGGGGATGCCTTTGGTGGGCCATTGGGAGGAATTAAGAGATCCTATTCAGTGTGACAGGAATGGGGCCAGCTTGGGCTACCCTGAGCTCCTTGTGTCTTTGAGAAACGGTTAAATGACAAAAGAAAGACATGAGCTGGAGGAATAGGGGGGCCCATTCCTTGCTCATTGGCTTGTTGGGAGCTTTGCCCTGGGGTGGAGCTGGGAAGGGGTGACCTGATGGGTCTGTCTTGCTGGACCCTCCAGCTTGTCTACTTTCATCACTTTGGGGATGAGCCTGGCTCTGGGCTGCACTGGGAGCACAGCATAGCATGAGGTGATGTCCAGCTGTACCTTGCTTACTAATTTTTTTTTTTTGGTGTTTTTTTTTTTTTTTTTTCCCCTTCTCTTCCCCACACTCATTTTGCTTCACAGTGGAGCTGATGTACTGGGAGGTCATGCGGCTCCGGAGGGAGATGTCTCTGGCCAAACTTGGGTTTTATCCCAGTGAGATGTAAGCAGAGGCCTGAGCATGGAAGAAACTGCTCCTGGATGAATGGCTTATCAAATGCAGTCTGCCAAACAGATGAAAGCAGTGCCTCTCCTCCAGTGGGCCTTACTCCTTCCCCACCCTCCCTCTGCCTAAAGCTGATCAAGGAGCAAGAAGCACAAGTTTCACCTTCAGCTGTCCCACTCTTCCAACTGTGACTGGAATGCAGCTGCCAAGCTACCGCCTCGGAGCTGGGCTGGCCCTGGCTGCTTTGGTGTGGCCGTCTACAGACTGTCCTCTATGGAGTCTCCTATATGCAGTGTATATCAATTTTTTTTTTTTTTTTTTTTAAACTTCTGTTTTTATATGCAGTCTGCTTTGTCATAGTCTGAGGCTGGCCCTGTGCAAGGCAGGAGTCCTGGACCTTCTCTTTGTAAGCAAGTCTTTCAGGACGGATGCTGGCTGTCTGTCCATCTGTTCCACTCATTCTGTGGAGTGGAGGGTGCTGTGCCCAGCCGTACACCTAGGTCCTGCTGACCACTTACTCCCCTAACAGCCCTGTAAATGCCAGCAGCACACAAATAATTTTATGGAGAGCCATGAACAGCCTGTTTCCAAGTACTTCCTTTCTCCCTTTAAAGGAGCCTTCAAGAGAAGCTTTCTGCCAACTGAGTCAGAGAGGTTTTTTTTTTTTTTTTCTGTTTTTAGCTTGCAATTTGTCACTGGGTGATCCAGGCTGGGGGAACAGCTGGAGCAGAGGCTGGAGCTGTGCACCTGGGGCCTTCACCAGAAGAAAGCAAGCAGGGAAACTGCTGAACTCAGAGCTAGCCACAGCTTGGCTGCAGTTGGTGCAGGATGTTTTCTCCTGGTCTAGAGAATCTGCTGCAGTTGCCACAAGCAGATGCAGACCTTGACGGGTGGTGCCCTGTGACAGTCCTTGGTGCAGAATTCCCCCATGGTGCTCTTAGGTACATACTTCACCCCCAAATATACCTATGAGCTGTTACTGCTCTGAGAGAGCTTTGGGCAGTACTGTTCCCACTGTTCAGCTAAAAACCATGGTCGCAGGCTGGGTTCTTTGTCTCCAGAAGGAACATGTCCAGGCTGGGAGCTATCTTGAGGCCCCAAGATTTCCTCCCCAACCTTACAGTAGACCTAGAGATACGCATCTACTGGGAAGCCTAGCTTCTTCTGGGCTGCCATTCCCAGTGAGGAAATTTGAGCCATCTTTGTGAGCACGTGAGGGATGTGGCTGTGGTTCCTGTATGCCTCAAAATGTGCTGGGAGGGATGTCACAGTGTTTTGTAGCCAATTTAGCCCTTTTTTTAGTGACTGTGGAATGAGCTCAGCCACTCCCCACCCTGGAGGTTTCATCTCTCATGGCATTTCTGCACTCTTGATGCATGTCACCCTGTCCCTCTGCCAGCATTGTAACTCCCATCGTAGCAAGTTGGTGCCCAGAACCAGATCACCACTGTCAGCTCCATTGGGAGATGCTACAGTAGGAACTCTGTATCTTCAGTGGAGGAAAATTAACAGCTGCTGTATTTTTGTCCAGGGGAGAGCGGAATAGATGAGGAAAATGAAAGTTTTTGGTTTGGAACCTAATCCAAGGACAGCTTCACAGCAGATCTGAGAACCTTCTGTGGAAGAACCCATGAGCACAATCTTTCCTGTCGCTGAGCTCACTTGCAGTATGCTGCTGCGTTGCTCCTCAGGGGACCCTTTTCTGCATAGCTGTACTGGCATATAGAATTGTTTGCTTAGGGTTAGTAGGTATGTGAAACATGAGTTGTCATCCCCAGAGCTGGGAGAACGCATTCCTGACAATACACAGTAGCGTTGAATCCACCTCCTGCAGCTCGGAAAGGGCTGACCTCCAAGTCCATGTCGTTAACAGCCTAGTTCTGCTTTAGCTTCCACAGCTGAGTGCCCCAACTCGTGCTGCCTTACCCTAGCTAGATGAGTGTGTACAGCTGCTACTCTTCACCAAAGGAATACGTTTCAAATGTGGAGTAAAAGCCTGGAAAATACATCTTTGGGTAAGATTCTGGCTGGGTCTTGAGCTAGTGATAAACCCGCATCTCTTTGGCCTCCGCAGACTTGTGGTAATTTGACATCAGCTTTTCCAGAGGAGAAAATAGAAATGTCTTTCCCCAGCTGCAGATTTCAGCTCAGGTAAATTCTATCCCTGGCAGTTTCTCATTGTACCTGTTGCCCCTGACCTTTTGATCTCTACATGTCATCCTGTATCATTAGCTGCTACATTGCACAACAGATGTGGCTGCATTGCAGCACTGGGAATGAGATGATCTCTCTGTAGGAGATGTTTTGGTTTGTGGGATGATTTTTTTCCTCCAGTGTCACTTTGTAAAGCACTTTGAGATGAAAGGAATTAGAGAAATGCATTGTATAAGGTTGTCTTACATTTAAAACAGAGGAGACAATTTGTAAATGAACATGAAGTCACTCCGTTAACAGCGGGATGGTTGCACCCTGCTCTTTATTAAAGGAAAATAAAGATTTATTAACCTCTTTAAAGGTCTGATTGCAGTTCTAGGGTTGGGTTGGTTGGGGCGTGTGTGCTTGGTCGCCAAGAGAAAAATCAGGTCTGGTTGGCATTGTGCTCTGTGCTTCACTTGCCACTGTGTGCCGTAAGGGACTGTGGGTTTAGTGCTTTTCTTTATCTGTCTGCCCTTCTTTAGCTGCTCCCTGACTTCACCAGGGGATTAGGTGCCAGTGTTCTGGTAGCAAACAGAGTTTTATCACAGTTTGTTGCGATAAGGCAGGCCTGTGTGGTTCTTGCTGAGGGAGGCTGAGGTGTTTCTTCCAGCTCAGCTGTGGTCTGGTTCAGTTTGCTGGCTTGAAGCACTGCATGGGCTATGCTGGCTGTCCCGAAGGCTGGTTAATTCAGAGATCTTCCTCTCTCTTGCAGGGCTGAGTCTCCTGCTTTTCTTACCAGCAGGTGGAGGCAGAACTGTGGTGGGAGCCTTTTACGAAGATGCTGTAATCAATGGGGTGGTGTAGAGTGAACGTTTCTTTTCTCTGGAGGCTTGTGGCTCTCTTTGGCAGGTCTTCCCTTGGCTGCACGGGGGCCTGGGGCTTTGGATGTGAAGGCAGAAGCTGACAAGCATGAGTTGTAGCAGCACCAGGGACTGAACGTGCTGCTGCTGTTCAGGTAATTCCCCCTGCTTTTAGCTGCAACTTGGTTTGAAAACCAAGCGGCCTTTTCTTATCAAAAGGTAGATCCAGCTCATGCAGGCCCTTTCTTGTCCTTTATAGAAGGAGAAGGGGGCCTGTGTCTGGGTCCCCCTGGCCCCAGCCCGTGTGTAGCTCCATGCCACAGCAGAGGCAAGGACAAGTGAGAGATGCCAACTGGTTGTGGGTGCCATGCGTGGCTGCCCTGCAGTACCAGCAGCCCCCAAATTCTTCAGGTTGGGAAGCTGGGTCACTGGCTTCACTAAAATAATTTTTCTCTCCTCCATTTATCTGTGGACATTAACATGGAATAAGATTTCTTGCCATCATCTCTTGGTGATGGCAGTGGAGGGGAAAAAGCAAAGCATGAAATGCCTTTGGGAAATGAAATGGGTAGAGCCAGAGCAGAAAACAGGATTAGACCTCATGTCAGTAGTGGTTCTGGGACCTGGGACTTGTCTTGTAGTAAAGGTAAACTTGCAATGAGGATGAGAGAGAGAAAGCCTGGCCTCAGGGAACTTTGTGTCTCAGAGTGAGTGTGCAGTGCTGAGGTTTTCCCCAGCATGGGGCAACGAACCTCAACCCTTATGGGCTTCCTCTGGATTCATGCTTGGTGCAATGGTGATCAGGCCATCACCATTTTTCCTGTTTGCATGTAATCCTGAGACCCAGTCACTGATCCTTGCTATGACAGTGTGACAGAAACATCACCATCACCTTCTCCACACTTATGTTTAAAGCCAGGAACTGGGGTCCTGTGTCCTCGCTACTCAAAGAGCCTTGAGATGCTCTTAGCCAGGCCCCCAGATCTCCCTGTCATCCTTTTTCCTTTCCATTCCTGCGTAAACGTGGGCATTATTGCCTCCCTCTGATGGGATGAGCAGCCCCTCACTGCTGCTCTCGGATTTCCCTGTCTTGCTCAGGTAGGTGAGGGTACAGAAGATTTTTCCCTGTCTGGATTCACACCCAATTACATTTGACATCACGGGAGGGAAGGAAGGGCACTGGAGGCAGCTCAGCTTCAACAGATGCCCAGAGGAAGGGGCTGCACCTCTGGGATGTGAAGAACCCCAACAGCTAGCAGCAATGCTTATCCAAAGGTCCTGTGCTGCCTTCTATGATGATGTTAGCGTTTTTCAAACAGCATTACCATTTTATAGGACAAACTGCCTGGGCACGGAGAAGGAAACCCACCTGTGGTTGCAAAGCAGGAACAGAGCTGGCGGTGTCTGCCCATCCTGCTCGTGCCCTCACAGCCAGTGCCGTGGTAGAGCAGGGCTGTGAGCAGTGGGGAGCTGCTGGCAGAGACACAACAAATTCCCCTGGATCCACGGGGGGCTTTGAGGAGGAGATGGCAGGAAGCTGCCAGGGCCAACAGCAGATATGATGGAGTAATTAGAAGGGCTGTCCCCTTCCTGCCAAGCTCAAAGCTTTGTCTGCATGTCCCTTCCCTGATGGGTTCAGAATAGGCTGTTGCCTGTGCTCAGGTGACTGTAAAGTTGCTCTGTGTTTTTTGGCTCCTGAGCTGTCCTGCGTTAAACAGCTATAGTATGAATTGAGAACTGTCTTTAGAAAGGGATATCAATTTTATTTATCTTTATTTTATTTTAGGATCTTACAGAGTCTGCATTAAAAAGTAATACAAGAATCTTCGTTCTTTGCAAGGAAGAGTAGCCTCCGCTCTTTTTCTCCGGAGGTTTGTGCATCGTGGTCAGGCAGCCACAAGAGGGCATAGGCAGACCAGGCAGGGTCTGTCCCCCTGCGAGAATGGAGCATCTTCAGTCCTACCTCACTTCTGCTTCTGTGAAGGCATCACACTTGCTGACCAATCCTCTGCAGCCTCTTGGCAGATTTATTTCTACAGCCTTCCTCTGCTCCTGGCAAGGAGGACTGGTGTTAGATGGGTGCTGTTCTCCTTAGCCAACTAGAGACTAAGTCTGATGTGGAAAGGAAAGGAAGGATTTGGATTTCTTTAAGGGATTCTTAATCCTGAAAAATATTGCAAAGTAATGTGGATGGCCAGGTAAGAGACTGTGGATATTTTGCTATGGCTGGGTCTTTAGGTGTAATGTCCTCACTGGAGTCAGTAGGGGTTGCTATTTGGAAACCTCCCCGTGGCTGGGAGCTGAGCCATGAGGTTGGCTCCTATGCTTCTATGGTCTGAGATGACATCAGCCCTGTCTCTGTCTGCCCACCTCTTCCACCAGAGCTTTCCTACATTTTTTCCTCTTAGAAATAAACCACTGTCCAGTTGCCAGACCCATTCCACGTCCTTTTAACAGTCTCTGGATCTTCCTGTACATGCTGCTGTATGAATAACATTTCTCCTTATGCCCATTTGCCCCACAACATAGGGCCTGCTAGCCTGTCTGGGGCCAAAAAAGAGCTTCAAAGGGATGGCGGTTCAAACATCAGCCTTCGTAGATGTGTGTCACTTGCTTGAAAAACAATGAGCAGAAACATTGGAGAGGATTTTATTTTCCTTCTTCCCTCCTTCCTAAATCATTTTTTCCCTGCCATGAAGCAGAAAGGTGGGTTTATATCTGGAGTTCTGTGTCCGTAACTCAGCCTTTGTGCAATAATCCTTGCATTCTCATGCTCTGTAATCAGAAAAGCGTGTGTGTGTGTGCATTACCTTGAGCCCTTCTTGGAGCTGATGAGGGAAAGGGTGAGTAGGAGCAGACTGCCTATTTGCCCTGGAGATGCCCTAGGAACTGTACGACCAGAGAGGGGTGTGCTGTGACGGACAGTGGCCCTCGGTCATCCCTGCGACTGGTTATGCTGAGAGTCTTGGCCAACTTGAGTAATGATGCTCTGTAGTAGTACTGTAGATATATAGATGCACCAGGATAAATGTATATATAGCTTGATAGTATGTCCCTTGTGCCACCAGGATCTTCAGCAGCAGCCTCTCATGTTTGTTAATATTGTCAGTAAGCAAATTTGCAGGATGTAAGGCATTTTGGTGTGGCACCAAAATACGACTAGTCTGGCAGTTACAGCAGAAGGGACTGGGGATCTTCCTGTGTTTTTTTTTTTCCTGCACCAGTTCCCATGTAGATTATCCTTGGTGGTATCAGTTCAGCCATCAGTGTTGGAGCTTCACTTTCCCCATCTGTCAAACTGGGATATGATTAGTTTCCACTATGAGGTGAATAGTTGGGGCCCACCTTTTAGGACAGCTTCTATCTGGAGCTCTAGTAGGAGTGATAAGGGGCAGGGTGTATATGCCTGGTGTATTTGGTCTACCTGTATGTGGGGGTCTGAGCAGTTATTCATGTACTTATGGCTGGGCAGGATAAGGGTCTGCAGGTCCAGAACGAGGCATCCTAACCTGGACTGCAGAGAAGTTTAGGTTTGCAAAAGGGATATTTTCTATCTCTGATGGAGGTTGGTATTGTGCACAATTAGGTGCTTTTAGATATTTAAATATTGATACATGTTTCAGTGTAGAATCTAGAAGACTCTGCATAGCAGGAGGAGAGAAACCAGGATAAAGGACCTGGAGGTTTGGTTGCTCATGGTAATTCCCTGGGTCTGCTGGGTCCTGTCCTTTACCCTGCCTTTAAGGTTACTCAGGGTTTGCACGGGGCTGTAAATCAGGCTGTCTTGCACAGTCAGTCAGACTGTCCCCACATGCACAGAGAGTTGTGTGTTTCCAGGAATCAACAAAAGAAAGATTTTTTTGTTTGTTTGTTTGCTTCAGATGCAGGCAAGAAGAAAGGAGAAGGTAAGCAGACAGCTTCAAAAACATCAGCTATTTCAAAGCTTTCACGATGACTAGTAACCTTCCTTTGTGACAAACGTACCAAACCAGCAAGGATTACTGCAGAATAGGTGGCACTAAAGCAGCCATGAGGAAATTCCAGTCATTTCAGAAATTTGGAGAGCATGGCCCTGCCAGGAAGAAATCAGTGTCCTGACACAACTCTAAAAGTGCACGTGGCTCTGAGGGCTGAGGCTGGTCGGCTCTGCCAAGGCAACACATTCCTTATAGGAGCAGTTCTTGTGGTGCCACTGGTGCTAGAAGCCAAGAGGTCAGTTCTGCTATTTATCATGTCAATATTTCCGTGTTTGTACAAGGGTTATTGGGCTGAGCTGAAAGGAGCTGGGAGGTTGACTTTAGCCAGACTGTTAAGGCAGGTGGACTTTGTGCCAGTTTACATAACATTTGCAGGATTTTCAGAAGCCAGAACAAGCCCCCATTGGGGTAATTCCCATTTGCGAGAGATGAGTTAGATAGATAGCAAGATGCCTTCTAGACCTGCTTGCTCTGTGATTGTCATGACACACTTCAAATTTTGGTCACCACTGAACTGCTATAGCTGCACACCTGTTGCTGG